GTAGTGCATATTGCTGTTCCTACCAACAGAGGGCACTAGACAAGCTACATAGCCAAATCCACCTAGTTGGTAGCAAACCTCAGCAGTATAGGAGAGCAGGCAATACATTTCACAGTACATACACACACTATAAACAATTACATTACACACACCCTGCACCTATAATGGGTACAGGGTTACTAAAACATAAGAGAAATAACGCAACCTACATAAATAGTCTGTCTGAAGGTAGAATAGGGGCTTTAATGCTAAATACATCAACAAGTCATAGCCACATGTTAGGAGACTGGCCAACAGGCTTCTCCATAACCCAGGGAAGCAGGGCAATTTGTCACACGAAAAACCAGTTACAAAAGGAAGTTTGTAAGAAAACATTTAAATATAGGAAGATAATACTTAGGTTATATGCACTAGATAAAGACTGATCGTCAAAACGCATTGTACTTGCTTTTACCTGAAATTTTCGGGATTTTATGGAATAAAATATTTTCTTCCAGAATCCAGTTTTGATTCATAATGTGAACCTTTTGGGAGAGAGGACCAGCTAATAAATCCTACATGCTTCTAAAGCTGGAGCCTGCTATTTGAGGCTCTGTTATATTTGAGTAGGTCTATGCAAAAGTATGTTTCCCGATTTTGTCAACATACAATATTGTAGTGTTTGTATGTTTTCTGTACAGATACATATGAAGCCAGTGTGGATCAACAATAACTCATAATAAGTATAATTGTGAAATATTTATATTGTGGCTTTATCACTCTTCCCCTATTTTTCCTTGTACTGGGACACTTTACAAGTTTTTGTGTTATTTCTGTTAACTTGTGCCCTAGTGGGTGATCAAAGGCACAGCGGTGTGTTGCATCTATTGAAAGCGCCACTATTTAACCTCATTTTCTGTATATATTAATTGGGTGTGATGAATTCATGTCTTGCTCTCTTTTCATTTGTACTCACTGTTAGTCATGAGCATTCCTTGTACAAAAGAGTCCAATATGGAAAAGCCTTTTAGTTTTAAACATTGCATCTGCTATAACCATTTCCAATCATAGGCGTGCGCACGGGGTGTGCCGGGTGTGCCTGGGCACACCCTAATCCCCGTGGCACGCCTATGGTTTGAGTCCTGCAGGAACGCTGTTCCTGCAGGCACTCAGTGCCCCCTGTTTCACCTCTTGCCCCTGTCATGGGGAGGGCAAGAGGTGATGGATTTCCCCCCCACTCAGCGCGCGGCTGTCTGCTCTCTGCTCCCTCTCGCCGCGCGCTGATGCCGGGAGCCGGAATATGACGTCATATTCCGGCTCCCAGCTCCAGCAGACAGCCCGCGCGGCGAGAGGGAGCAGACAGCAGACAGCCGAGAGCTCCCTCGCCGCGGCTCAGCTGGAGAAAGGCGCCCGCCCCACTGGACCCCAGGGAAAAGTCCACCAGCACTCCAGGTAGGAGGCTGGGTGGACATTGTTTTTTAAAATTAAAATATAATAATTTGTGTGTGTGTGTGTGTGAGTATGTGTGTGTGTGTGAGTATGTGTGTGTGTGTGTCAGTGTGTGTGTGTCTGTGAGTGTGTGTCAGTGTGTGTGTGTCTGTGAGTATGTGTGTGTGTCAGTGTGTCTGTGAGTGTGTGTGTGTGTGTCAGTGTGTGTCTGTGAGTGTATGTGTGTGTCTGTGAGTATGTATGTGTGTGTGTGTATATATATATATATATATATATATATATATACACATACACACACACGCAGAGCCGGCGCTATCTAAGTGCCGGCTCTGCTCTAAGCCTTCATGGGCCGGCGGGGAGACCAAAGATCTACCTCACCGGCCCACAGCAGCATGGAGGGAGGCAGTAGAGGACCCAGGGAGCTCTAGACAGAAGCTCCGCCAGGTTCCTCTCGCGATATCTGAGCATAGCTGCGGGCAACGCTCCGATCTCGCGAGAGTTAACTCTAGCCCCACAGGCTAGAGTTCACTCTCCACTGGACCACCAGGGATGGCACATGGCAGCAAGGATTTACTAATCTGCCAAATCCCTCCAAACATCGTTAAGTCCATTATAAGGATTTGAAATAGTCCAATCACATCTTTCTCATGTATAATCGGTTTTTAGAATGATCTTCAATAGATTCCTTGTGGAATACCAGTGTAGATCACATTAGCAATCACTTCACTGTGAGCTGTGTCTCTTCTCTTGAGATGGTTCTTGGAGGTTGTCCTCACGATCATAGAACTAGTATTATGTGCAGTCCAATTCAATTCAGGTGCTTCTTGCTTGTTAACATAATCCCAATGCAGTTTTAAAACAACAGCTAGGGTTGATGTTATGACAGTGCTGCAGATTGTAAGAAAGAGACACCATAACCAATGTTCTAGCACCCTTTTGCTTCCATCTTTGCATTTCTTTCTTACTGTATAAGATAATTTAGGTCCAGTCTGTTTTCTCCAGAGTCTTTCTTATAATGATGTTTATTTTCATATTTGGAATACCTAGATCTCCTTCTTTCATGGTTTTAGATAATACCTTGAATGCAACTCTCGGTTTCTTATAGTTCCAAACAAATTGATTAAATATCTTTTGGAATTTAGATAATATTCTTTTAGGAACCACTAATGGAATAGATCTGAAAAGAAATGTAAGTTTAGGTAGTATATAATATTTAATTGTTTCTATTCTACCTATCCATTAAATTAAATGGTAACTTTTTTCCTTTCATTTAATTTATTTTAAAATTTATTTAACAAGGATTTATAATTAAATATGGTTATTTCCTTTTTTTTAAAAGGCAAATTTTTCTATCCCTAGATGGTCCATTGTTTTCTCTTTCCATTGAAAGTTATATGTTTCTTGAAGATCTTTTTTATTACCCTCCTTTATATTTCCCATTAATGATTGGCACGTATCAATATTTAATTTATAGAATGATATTTCAGAAAAGTCCTGTATCTCCTTCATAAGTTCCATTACTGATAATTGCAACATATTCATCCTCACCTTGCAACATCGATAGTGATTGCCTTTCCAATAAATGCGGTAGTGCCGTTCAGCGGCCATGAGTCAATATGTCTGACCCCTGCAGCATGTTGATGGACGTCGGCCGCTGTGGATCTACACCAATTTGTAGCCCCACGTCAACCCAGGGCATGGCTGACGTCAACATGCGCATGATGTCATGCAAAAAACACACACGCACGGTCTGGGGCAAAAGGCTGGTTACGGCCAATCGGATCAACAAGAGGGGTATTTAAACTCATCTATTTCTTCAGCTCATTGCCTTGGCGTAGTTTCCCTTAGTGGTTGTCTGAGAGTGCGTTCCTGATAATTTGTTTCTGGTTATTGACTTTGGCTTCATTTTGACTTCCCTGTATTCTGGTATCCTAGACTTTTGGCGTTCCCTGATCATTGTGTCTCCCTCTGTGTCCCTGACCTCAGCAAGTATTCTGACTATTCATTGGTAAGTTAAGTCCGGCCATTCTAAGGCCCGGTAAGACGTTACCTTTTAGTCCTAGGTGTTATATAATTCTATGTGCTGGATCATATAGTAATCCTGACAATAATATTGGATCTTCTAAAGTTAAAAAGATGTCATGAGCGTACATTGATAATTTAAATTAACTTTCTCCCAATCTGAAGCCTTTTATCCCTTCGTCGTCCCTAAATTTTTGAGCAAAGGGCTCCAATGAGAGTACCTATAACATTGGAGCCAAAGGGAACCCTTGTCTGGTACCATTTTACTTTTTAAAATGCAATCAAAATAGCGCAATGTAAAATCTTAAGAAACAAATTAAAACTAATGGAGTAAAAGCTGCTAAACACATGGAAGGTGATTCATATAAACCTTCTAACGCAAACAATCTACATAGTCAGAGAAAATATAACAATATGATATTGTAAATCTAGTTTTGATTCACCTCCACAGTGTTGAATATGCACTTACCAGATAAGAAAATATATAATGGTAAGAAGTAAAATAGGAGGGATAATGGCTCCAAAAAAGATAAAGAGAAAATTATAACTTCTGAAAAAAATAAAGGCATTAGTACCTTTTACTCCTCAAAAAACAATGAGACTAATAGAAGATCAATTTCCAAAGAGAAGAATTGAACTTTTCTATGGATAACACACAGTATCAAGATAAACAGATAATTCCTCCATTAAATATAATGCAAAAGTCATTGGAAGAGTCCATGAATAAAATCTATTTTAAAATAAAGCAAGATCTTGACTCAAGTATTTCTATGCTCAAAGTTGAGCTCACTCATTTAACTACTACTCTAATAGAAAAACCCAAACAATACAGAAATTACAAAAGAATAAGAATCTGTTTTCATCAAATAAACTATTAAAAGGTAGAGTCATTCATCTGGAAACTAAATTAATGGATATAAAAGTTTGTTCCAGAAGGAATAATAATAAAATCAGAGGAATTCCTGAATCAGTTTTCCAAGTCAATCGTGAAAAACACCTTATATCCCTTTTCTCATCTCTAATACCAGTCCAATGTCTGGAAAATCACCCCTTTGAAAGACTTCACTGTCTTTTCAAGCCACAAAACATTTCACCAACTTCTCCTAGGGACATAATTGTTAAATTCACAAACGGTTACATCAAAAACTGGTAATGCAAGCAAATCAGAAATCTCCCCACAATTTAAGGATATCAAATTATTTCCTGATTTATCTCCAACGACTAGACAGGTGAGAAGGAAATTCAACGTAACTACTGCAACTCTTAGAGCAAACAATATTAGATACAAATGGAACTTTCCGACAGCACTAGTAATATTCTATCAGAACCATTCTTATACACTCAAGGATCCAACAGCGGCAAGAGAATTAATCTTAAAATGGAAACTTTAATTGTTATCTAATGGAAACTTTAATTGATGTCAGTGCATAGTAAGGAATGTCTTTTTTTGTTGTTTTTTTTTCATACAATTATGTGTATATTTTTTTTTTTTTTCACAATTTTCAATATATATTGAAAGGGAATACATATTATTCCAGTTAAAGGAACAGTATAGCCACCTAAACCACCCTAGCCAAATAAAGCAGCCCTAGTGCACAAATCACTCCCCCGCAACCTCACCGCTCAACTCACCGCCATGTAGGTGCCAAATCACTTTGTTTCTGTTTATGCAGCCCTAGTCACACCTCCCCTGGCTATGACCGACAGAGTCTGCATGAAAAAAAAAACTGGTTTCACTTTCAAACAGATGTAATTTACCTTAAATAATTGTATCTCAATCTCTAAATTGAACTTTAATCACATACAGGAGGCTCTTGCAGGGTCTAACAAGCTATTAACATAGCAGGGGATAACAAAAATCTTAATTAAACAGAACTTGCAACAAAGAAAGCCTAAAAAGGGCTCTCTTTACAGGAAGTGTTTATGGAAGGTTGTGCAAGTCACATGCAGGGAGGCGTGACTAGGGTTCACAAACAAAGGGATTCAACTCACAAATGGCAGAGGACTGAGCAATGAGGCCGCAGGGGCACGTTACATACACCAAAACCGCCTCACTAAGCCAAAGCTGTTCAGGCCACTATAGTGTCCCTTTAAAGTACATATCACATACATTATTATAGCTTTGGGGAAATTAACAATTCTACTTAAAGAGAAATTACTTTCATGTACACACTATACTACACATGTAAATTTTTATATTTATATCTTTTTATTGTTTCACAATGAAAATTCCTACAACTGAAATGTTACAGTACCAGCGTATCGGTGACAGAGAAATGTAGATGTGACATTTTCGGTACATACAACATTGTACAATGAACATGGTGTAATAAACAATTTCTGTATCATCATAATGAGAAGGATAATATTTCAAGAGTAAGAGATAGCTTCGAAACTCAGTGAGGCTAATACAATATACTGCCGAAATATGGAGTTTAAACCTTACAATCAGTAGAGTATTAGTTACATGGCACTTATTTTAAAGTATAGACATACATTGTTAGTTGTAGATTGCTGGATCTAAATATATGATATGGCAAATGAATGTCCGTGGTGCATAACAATAAAGTCCATCCTGGTATTGCAGGAAAGCAACATATTACAGCTTCACTCTTTTCTATAATAGAAGTTAGTTTGAAACCATTTTATAGTATTAGTGATTATTGAATGGCGATGAATAGGAGAAAACAGAACTTGGTTAAGTACCCCCTAATCTCGTCTAGCGTTATGTCTAGAAGGCCTGTTCTCTATGTAGGTGTGGACATATTGTCGGGTTTGTAATCTTTGATAAATGTATCCCATGGTGACCATGCATGAACATATTTATCATATGTGCCATTTAAGGAGTGGGAGAGTTCTTCCATTTGTCGTATGGCCTCTACCTTTGCTAACCATTCTCTAATAGTTGGAGGGTTACTCTGTTTCCATTTGGTGGGAATTAAGCTATTTGCCGCTGTGAGCATGTGATTTATTAAGACACGAGTAGATTTCGTTACTGGAGAGGGATAGAGCGTAAAAACAAGTGCTTCAGGTGAGGTGGGTAACTCATAGCCCGTGATGGTATTGATGAGGGAGCATATTTTTTCCCAATAGTTTTGTATAATGGTGCACGTCCACCATAGGTGACCCGGGGTTCCCATTTCGGTCTTGCACCTCCAACAAACTCTGGATGTGTTGGGGGAAAATCTATAAGATCTGGTCGGGGCTAGGTGCCATCTAGAGATTCGTTTATAGTTGCACTCTTGTAAAGTAGTATTGATGGAGGACTTAAAAATGTTGGTGAATATTTTACCCCATTCTGACTGGGTTAAAGTAATCCCCAAGTCGTTCTCCCATGCTTTGGTGTATGTCGGTAATTGCTCATTGTCTTGTGCTTGTAATAAGTTATAAAAAGTGGTTATGTGTTTCTTTTGTAGGGTTCTAGACGTGGCTAAAGATTCAAATGTAGTTAAAGGTCTACATCCCTGCCGCAGATCTGGCTGCCTCTGGATATAGTGCGAAAGTTGTGCATATCTAAATTTTTGCATGATAGAATGTGTGGGGGTGCGTACAATTGCATTTAGGGGGAGAATTCCATTTTCATTAATTACCTCATTTAAATGTAGGTGACCTTGTAGGTTTTCAAAGATTCAAAATGCTTCAGGCTGCAAGCCTGGAGGAAAGTTGGGGTTCCCCATAATCGGTAAGAGTGGAGATGGATGGGGGGAGATATGTTTATTTTGTCTGAGCCGGTGCCATTCTTTTAAAGTGGGAGTGATAGTGGGGTGGTCTTCATGGCCTGGACAAAGTATATTTGTATTGGGTTCGTGCCAAGGTATGGTTTCAGGGTTTGTTGTGAAACTTGTGGTTTCTATCTGTGTCCATTGTTTTTGGGTTTGAGGGTCTACCCAGTCATAAACACGGGCTAAAAGTATGGCATTACTGTAGCGTTTGATATCTGGGACCCCCAAACCTCCTTGCGATTTGTGTCTCGTGAGGGTTGGATGAGGTAATCTATGGCGTTTACCCGCCCATAAATAAGAGGTAAAAATTTGTTTAGCCTTCATAAAAAAGCTATGTGGTATGTTTATGGGCAATGTTTGTAAAAGATAAAGAAATCTGGGCAGAATAGCCATTTTTAAAATATGGACTCTACAAAGCCATGAAAAGTGGGGTTTATCCCAGTTTTTGAGATCGTTGGCAACAGTAGCCAGTAATGGAGGAAAGTTTATGTCATATATTTTATCTAAAGAAGCCGATAGATGTACTCCCAGATATTTCACTGAGGATGGAGGCCAATGGAAATTATATTTCTGTTGGAGCCTGAGCTTAGTATCATTGGAGATATTGAGTTGGAGTATCTCACTTTTGCTGACGTTTACCTTGTAATTGGATACTTGTCCATAAATATCTATTTCTTGCATTAAATGTGGCAGAGATGTTTCTGGGTTTCTCAAAGTAAAGAGGAGGTCGTCAGCAAAAGCGGAAATTTTGTATTCCTGCCCAGCTATTTGTATCCCTTGGATATGTATGTTGTCTCTAATGCCTTGCAAGAAAGGCTCCATTGTTAGGATAAAAAGGAGGGGAGATAATGGACACCCTTGCCTTGTACCATTAGAGATATGTACTGTATTAGAGAGTTGTCCATTTACCCTTATCTTTGCTCCGGGTTTAGAGTAGATAGCAGACAGCCATTTTTGCCAGTTTGGACCAAATCCCATGGCTTGTACTGTGGCTGATATCAGGGACCAGTCCACCCTGTCAAACGCCTTTTCAGCGTCAATAGTGAGGGCCAAACATTGTGATGTTTGTTTATTAGCATGGTATATAATATTCAAGAGTTTTGTTGTATTATTTTTGGCCTCTCTGCCTGGCACGAATCCGGCCTGGTCCGGGTGGACTAATCCCTGCAGGTGAGGCCTTAGTCGTGTGGCAAGTATCTTAGTAAAAATCTTTAAGTCTACATTGATCAAGGAAATAGGACGATAGCTACTACATTCCATGGGATCCTTACCTGGTTTGGGAATGAGAGTAATGTGAGCCTCTAGTGTGTCACGTGGCAGACTATGTCCCTGAGACAAGGAGTTAAACGCAGCAAGAAAGGGTTTGATCAGGATGGATGAGAATGTTTTAAAGTATTTGGATGTGAATCCATCTGGTCCTGGACTTTTTCCTACGGGTAATTGCTTTATGGCCCAAGCCACTTCTTCTGGGGAGATTGGCTCATATAGGATTTGTCTAGCATTGGGTGGGATTGTATGTTTCAGTCTCTCTGACAAAAATTTGTGTACATCGTTTGGGTCGGGTGGTTAGGGTCGGAGGTTGTAGAGGGATGAGTAATAAGAGTGAAACTCCTGTAATATTTCTGGTAGAAGATGGGTTGGAGTATCTCTGGAGGATTTTATTTGGGTGATGTATGTTTGTTGTTTTTCTTTCTGAATTGCTCTAGCTAACATTCGTCCACATTTTCCGCCTCGAGTGTAGTATTTAAGTTTGGAGAGAAGGAGGAATCTTTGAACTTTCATGTTAAGCAGGGATTGGAGTGCGGATCGTTTATCTAGTAATTGTTTATAGTTCTCTAGTGACATGGATTTTTTGTGTGCAGCTTCTAATTGTCTGATCTCCTCAGTGAGAGTGACTATCTGATGTTCTCTAGCTTTTTTATGTTTAGAGGCCAAAGCTATAATGTGTCCCCTAAGTACGGCTTTGTGTGCCTCCCAAATTTGAGTGGGTGAGACTGCTAGTGTATTATTCTCTGCGAAGTAGTTGGTTAGATTTTCCTGTAATTGAGCAATGTGTGCGGGGTCATTAAGGAGTGTATCATTTAACTTCCATTGCGCTCGTGTGTGTGAGAGATTTGGAATTGAAATTGTCATGGTTAAAGGTCCGTGGTCAGACCACGTGATTGGCCCGTATGTACAATTTTGGATGAGATGAAGGTATCTTTGGTGTAAGAAAATCATATCTATTCTCGAATAGGTCTGTTTGACCGAGGAAAAGTATGAATAATCTCGGGATGATGGGTGCGTCACCCGCCAACCATCTAACAAGTGATGTCTATCAAGGAGTTGTGTGATTTTAGCTCTGGACGTGGCATTGTATTTTGTGTAAGTGGAGGTTGTATCTAAGTCTGAATCTAAGGAAATGTTTAGGTCTCCTCCCACTATGATAATCCCCTCTCCAACCTTCTCCAGAATGTTAAGGTACCTGCACAAATAATGGTGTTGGTTCGTGTTAGGAAGATATACATTAGCGAATGTCACCACAGTGCTGCCAATTTTGCCTATAACTATTAGTAGCCTACCGTCTGCAAAGGAATGGTGGAATGTGTAAGTGAAAGGCGTCCCAGCCCCGACCATAATTGCTACCCCTTTGGACTTGGAGTCCCCAAAGTTACTGAAGTAGCCAATCAGGTAATGATTGTTGCGTAAGGAAGGAGCTGCATCTGCATTAAAGTGCGTTTCTTGAAGGAACGCAACATCTGCCTTCAGATGATGAAGCTCTCGCAGAGCGAGGGCACGCTTATGTGGTGAGTTTAACCCTCTAACATTCAACGTGACAATACGGATGGAAGCCATGGCAAAGCACCCAAGATATAGTGTGTATAAATTGTTGTAAGTGAATCTTAAGATATTAATGTATACGTGTACCGCCTCAGCGTGATTCTACCCACGATTAGAGTGGGTGAGTAGCAGAATTAAGAGTTACACAGTGACCTAAATTAAATAGGTACAATAAAAGATAATAAAAAACAAAAAATGAAAATCAAATTCAAACAAACCAAATGAACTATTTACAAAACCTTGAAAGTCACCTGGAGCTAGCAATTGAGTATGAGTTTAGTGACGTATTGAAAGGGCCCCTTCTGTCGGTGGTAAACCCTGGAGAATACTTACTACCAGGGAAGGAAAGGGGCAGCGCTGGGGTCGAAGGCTCAGCTTCAGGTGTCTATGCAATATGTTTGGGGGTGGTGTTATAGCAAGGTCTTGCACGCCTTGAACGGGAATCGGGCAATCCTACTGGAAGAGTAGTCAAAAAGTACGAAAATCGGGGAACGATTAATGAGTTGGTTAGGGACTCTAGTATGACAGTTATCTCTGTCTGGATGTAGCAAT